TTTTTAGTGGATGATTAGAAAGACATTTTAAAGATTACTGCTTTTCTGCCTTTTCTGATCCTTTTTATCTGTGAAAAAGAAATGGGATAGTAATACGAGCCTCTTCTGTGTTCAGAAGGAACGGGATGAGGGGATGGAGGAATGCCAGTGAAGAGCAGCTGTCTTTCTTTTCCCACCTTTTCTCCTAGTCATATCATTTTGCCCCTTCATAGTACTTTCTACCTATAATTAATTCATTCTTTGTCATAAAATGTTTGGTGCTTGTTTTTCTCTTAACAAACAGCTCAGCCAGGACAGAGACCAATTCTTATTGACCAATCTCTGCCCAGTGCCCAGCACTCAGCCCAGGGCCTGGCACACAGCTCATGCCCAATAACACCTGGGTCAGCTGATCAAGTGGAAGAAATGGGGTAAAGCACTGGTCCAGACTAGAGTCCCTCCTTCCTGTTTTACTCAAAATTCTGGTTGAAAGAAAGGAATTGGGTGTCATTAGACTTAGGTACTTGACTGTAAGGTGAGTTCATTACCCTTGGCAAACTTTTCCACTCGCTCACATCCTGGGCTTTGGGCTTGTTGGACAGACTTCCTGTCCTCCATTCAGGCACTCACAGCCACATTCTTTCCCAGCCTCCTCGCTGGTGCCTGGTGCAAGAAACCATCTGTACAGTTGGCTGTCTAGGAGCCAAAGACCCTTTGCTGTCATTACTTATGGGTTATTTTATGGACTTCATACCAGGCTAGAGGCATGCATCCAAGGAAACCCACATCAGAATCACCCCCTCCCCCCCTGCCCTGCCAAATAAAAGTAACCTTTTTTTGAAAGACCCTTAAAGGAAATTCTGCACTCTCCCCTGGGAACTTGGTGCGGTGTCTAACACTTCACTGAGGGAATTCTTGGTGTCTAACTGAAGTTTCCCATGACGCAGCCTAAGTCCATTTCCTTTCTGTTTCTCCTTAGAGTGGAGAATAAATAGCCATCTTTTTAGAGCATTCACTCTCCATTTTTATGCTTCTATTCAGCCAGCACTTCCTGACCACCTTTTGTGGGCTGAGAGCTGCTAACCAAGGAGAGTCAAACATGATCTCTGTCCTCAGGGAACTCGCAGTTGGCCTTGGCGATAGGTAGGTATCAAGAAGCAGTGCCATGTGATGCGGCTGCACTTGCAGTGTGCAGCAGGTGGTCTCAGACTCCGAGGAGGGGTGATCCTTTCTGTCTGAAGAGAGGTACCAGAGAAAGCTTCACAGAAGTGACATCAGAGACGGTTCTTGAAAGATGGAGAGGAGTTCGCCACTTAGGCAAATGGAAAAGTGTCCTAGGCACAAGGAGAGCAAGAACCAAGGCATGAAGAGGAGAGAGAGGTGAGTTCAGTATGATTGGAGCAAGAGGAGATAAGGGCTCTTGGAGAATTGCTAACTATTCACCCTCACCCACCCCGCACCTTAGCCTTTAGGCTTCTGTTTTCTCCGTGACTGATAATATCAGCTACCCTTGCTGCCTTACTAGGTACCAGACACTACTACACATGCATTAACTCACTGAATTCTCGACATATGAATGAAGTACTATAATTACTCCCATTTTATAGATGAGGACACTAAGGATCGGGGAGATCACACAAGCTAGGAAGTGGTGACACTAAAATTCCAGCATAGGTCGGTCTGTCAGATCCCATATGCTCGTAAATTTTAAAACATTTATAGATATACACACATGATTTTACATAAATGCATAAACATGTTTTAATTGGGTAGTTTTTCATTCCGTTTTTGACTGGGTTCTTCCATCTCCCATATCAGCCTCCTCCCTCCTCATAACCCATGTCAACAGCCTTATTATGTACTTTTCAGCAGCGAGCCCTTCAGAAAGCACAATCTTTAGCTTTAATTTTTCAGTGGCTAGAGTAAGAGCAGGATATGTTTTGATTAAAAACTTTGTTTCCTCCTAAGAGCCCTTTGCTCACTCATTTTGGGTGGATAGTTAACCCATTTCTGGAACTCTGGGCAGACACTCCTGGTTCTCCAGGGAGCCCCAGGGACTCCAGCTGCAATCTTTGGCCAGTAACATTATCTTTGAGGACACGGCAAAGAAGCAGCCCTTGCAGAGGGCCCAGCCATCTTTTGCTGGCTGGAAATAAGTAATGCGCAAATTTTTAAAAATTTAACAAATTGAAAATGGTCCCTCTCCCCACCCTAATCCAGCTGCCGACAACAGACCTTAAGGCTCTTATGGGATTGCCAGGGTAATCCCATGAGCATGTGTCTTCTTATGGGAGAGTCATGTTTTTAGCCTATTCTGCTAATGCTCAAAGATAGAGAATTTCTTGGCATGTTAACCCCCTCTTGAGCTTAATGAGGTTTAAAAAAGTTGGAGCTAGAGGAGAAAGCATGAGAACTAAAAGCAGACAATGGGTGAGTACTTGTAGGACACAGAAAGCATCTGACTTCCACTCAGGTCTGCTTACAGAGTGAGACTCGCCCAGGCATCCTACAGTGAGATAGACTGAACTGTTGCATGTCAAGATGACGGTGATGAAGTAAGCCTCATTTATGGAGCACCTGCATTGTACTAATTGCTTTATATGCATTGTCTCATTTAATCCTCAAATCAATCCTATGCAATAGGTACTGTTAGCCTATTCTGCAGATGAGGAAGCCAAGTATTAGGCTTGTTCAAAGTCAGTGAGCTATTTAGTACCAGAGCAGAGAAATTCAACCCCAGCAGACAGACCCCAGAGCTTACACTCTTAACTCCTTTACTGTCCCTACTGGGGGAAGGTCTCAGAAGCTCCAGCCATCAAAAGCTTGTCACTTCCCTCACCTCGAGGGAATATTTGTTGTTTTTGCCTTTTTAGCACCAAGTCCCTTGTCATCTGGTAACAGCAACTTGGACTTCTTTGGGGAGATCCCCACTTTCCTACCCTCAGATTCCATGGGTTTGGGTGGGCTGACATCAACCCTTGAGTCAGCGATGAACCTATGGCCTTGCTCTGGCCTGTGAGATCATCAGACCCACCCAGCCAA